AACTATGCTAATTTACTTAACTTGTGTGAACAGTGATTCACTCAATAAAAAAACCTTAATCTACTAAATCACTGGCTATTAAATACATTACGATTACCATTTAACGATCATCATGGCAGTCGTCTCTAGGAAAACGTTTTTTAAAACCGCAACAGAACAATTTTATGTCATTTTGCTTAGTACCTGATCTGATACCTTAACTTAAATAAATGTATAAAGAAGTCATGGAGGGAGGCTATTCGAAGGCTGAGTAGCATTTTCACACAAACGCACAAGATAGTGCAGTCATTGAAGCATTATTGCTCCAATTTTTTTTTACTCTGAACCGAATTGCATACAATTTTGGAATTAGGTTCATCTTATCCTTAACTTCAAAAGTGAAAATGATTTGAACTCCGCAACCACTCTGGGGGTGGTTGCCACCCCTTCTCGGGGTGAATTTTTTTTTAAATAACCTCGGATGTCGATAGAAAGCCTAATTTTAAGCAAAAAAACATCTACAAAGTTTTTCGAAAAATCCAATACTTTTCAAGTTATTGGCAATTGAAATTCACAACTTTTTCACGTTTTTCATCGGTTTTTAGCAAATATCTCCAAAAATATACGTTTTATCGAAAATTTTATAAAAAACAAAATTGTAGTAGGTAAAAAAATGAACAATTTGGTTTTTTATAAAGTATTTTAAGTGCAATATTAAGCTAGATATTAAAGATCAAAGCCGTTTTTTATTCTGTCTGAAATTGAATCGATGTGGCCAATGCCATTCTAATAAAAAGGGTTTTGTAGTGCTTAAAATAAGCTTTAATGTGAACACTATTAAAAGTCTTTTGAACGTAAAATAAGTGAGCTGTATTGCAAATAAAAGGAGCATCTAATGTTTTTTCTTTTATATCAATGAGTTTCATAGGTGCCATTTCCACCAAAATTAAAATTAATCGTATTCCGCCTAGAATTAACTTTATTATAACGAGTTTGACAGATTGTATCAGTTTGGTTACTTCAGAACACATATTTTTAAAAAAGTCACGATTAAAGAAAAGTTTCAAATTTAAAAAAAAACCACCTTTTTTTATAATATCTCAAAAATGGCGACAGATACGTATAAAAGTGTACGAATAAAAAATTTAGGAATTTTTCTGACAAATTATTTAGTTTTTTTTGTTTTTTCTGTCAAACAAAAATTGACGGAGATATGATTGTTTAAAGAGCGCGTGGCAGTGCAATCACAGCCTACTATATATTGCAATAATGGATGTTGTAGCTCTCTTAATTACCTTTACAATGGTTTTTTTATAAATTATGATAGCATGAAAATTGAAGTTATGGTCCAAAAACTTATCATATTTTTTTCTACTTAGTAACTGAAAATTTCGGATTATGAATATTTGGAGCAATGTGAAAGTACGCAGTATAATAGAGACCCAAAACTATTGGGTAATTTGTATACAGATTGAACGAATTTAAAACGGATCATACAATTTAATTTATATCTGTTTGAACTGGATTTGAAATAGTGGACCAATATAAAATTTGGACAAAAATAAATCCATACTCGGTGATAGACATTGTATAAAATATCGTTCAACTATCTGTCTCCTTTTAGGACGCACCATAGTCTAGAGCTCTGCCCAAAGTCAATGTTGCCAATCGCCGTGTAATAATCCGATTTGCGGATATTTTTGAGAGTTATATCTTCTTCGTATCTTTAAATAAATTGGATATTTGCCTATATTTTTCATTGTATTTACCAATCTACTACAACAGACTAATAACAAAAATAAACTTATAGGTTTGTAATTATTTCCTTTCTTTCCTGTAAATATTTTATGGTTAACACCTTATTTGAGAAACATCTAGAGGAATGAGATTGGCAACACCGCTCAAAATATCCATCTGACTGCTTAGATAAACGAAAGAGCAGAGGGGCTTACCTAAAGCCGGCCACTCACGATACAGCGGCGTTGTTTAAACTCTTCGAGTTCGACGAATTGACAAGGATTTTGATCGTGTGTGACCGTGCATCCAATGAAATCGTACAATTTGACCGCAGACAGACTGGCCTGTCTGCTGCAGTACTGCAGAGTTGATCTCATCAATTTGTTGAGCGTGTGTGACCGTTTATAATTTGTCGATACTGCAAAAATACATTTTTAACTACACACTTGCTTTGATCATATTATATAAAATCGACATGGCTTAATTTGGCGAGAATTTTTTAAGAGAGCTTTTGAATTATATAAAAAACAAGAATGCTTATAGCAAAGAAAAGGTAAAACGTATCACGATAGAAACGCCCGAAAACAGGCAATGCACATTCTAGTTTTAAATTTCCAAGAAGTAAACAAAGGTGCGAATGAAGAGTATGTAAGAAAAAAAATTAACAATTTTAGAACATCCTATAAAAGAGAATTAAAATCAGCATTGCAGTCCAGTAAATCGGGTGCAGAGGCAGACGAGATTTATTTTGCACCAAAATCTTGGATTCTTTGCACCAGAATCTGCGTTTTATTGTAAGTTTATTTTTACGCTTAGTTATACATAAAGTAAGAGACGCTAAATAAAATTATTGTTTGATTTGACATGGTCGAGAACCGAACAAATACTGTGGCGCAGTATGGTGTGTGGGCGCACCAGATATACCAACAAATTGAACAACGCCGCTGTCCGATTATGTCGAACGACACCGCTGTACAGTGAGTGGCCGGCTTTAGGAAGCGATAAGTGGTTTGGCAGCATAATGCAGGCCATTCACGTTCCGACTTGTGGTACGACTAGTGGTCCAACTTCTGCAGTTGGATCTGAAATCGGACCGTGAGTGGGCTAGTTGGATTAGTTGGACAACTAGTGGTACGACTAGTGGGACGACTTGAAGATCCGACTTCCGACTGGCGACGAAGTCGGAGCGTGAATGGTGAAGTTGGAAGTCGGATCACAGGTTGGATCGAAAATTTCCTCAGTCAGTTGACTTTCGGCACCTGTTACGTATGAAATTTCTATGAAATACTTTACGCAAAGATCTCTAGTTCGCAAATATTTATTAGAAAATAAACTTTCAATTGCACGAAAATTACCTTTTTGTTAGGGCAAATCATTTTCCTTTCTGTAGATCTATTTCGGACATTCCTATACAGGTAAATTTCCGATACTCCGGATTGGCTACAGAAGAATTATCAACATACAATAAAAATTAAATCATACTTGTAGCAAAAGATCCCTAGTTCGCAAAAAAATAATAGAAAATAACTTTCAATTACACAAACAATAATTATTCCTATTAAAAATATACGACACACACACAACAAAATAAATCCCAGCTCCAGTTTAAAACAAATAAAATATAGATTTTATACCTATACAAATCTTTAAAAACTATAATTTTTTCCTACATCTTAAAAAGTCATAAAAATCAAGAGTTGAAAAAATTAATTAGTTCAGCCCTAGACAAATACCTAGAGAAACTAAACCTAATTTTTAAATTATCATAACATACAATAAAGATAACAAGCACAGTGCTGTCATTTTTCTCCTCCTAATTATATTTTGCGTAGTGTTTATTCGATACATCCTAGAACTGAAGTTGGACCGCTAGTTGGATAGAAAGTCGGAGCGTGAGTGGAGACGAACATCCAACTAGTGGTCCTACTTAGTGGTACCACAAGTCGGAACGTGAATGGCCTGCTTAATAAAATACTAGATTTATGTGTAGCTTTCAATTTTTATACGTGATGGGCGGGGCAACCTATTTAGGTGTAGTTTTGACTTGTTCTTGAATTAGTTCAGAATCCAGCAGACCGCTGAAGTATTGGATTTTTATAATATAATTTTTGACAACCTTTTGTTGGCCAACCACCTAGAGGCTGTTTCCATATTTTGGAAACGTAGGCATGAATACATACCGACGTTCTTATAATATGTATATATAACACATTTGAGTGAAGGGGCCATGTAATCATATATATTTACTGTTTTAATTTAGGGGTATTAAGGGTAGAAAAGCTTAAGAATATGATAATCATTTTCGAGAGTTTGGAATAATATTAAAATCCTTTTCATTTTATCAAAAAAAAAAAATGTTTAACAATTTCTTATCAAGGGGTAGTTTTGAAGGGTTGAAATGGGGTTAAAAATTTGATTATTATTATAGAGAATATAAAATATTACTCACTCTATAAGTACTTACATCTTTTTGTCATACCAAAGTATTTTTTGTGATTTTCTCAATTTAGGGGTTGTTTGCAAGGGTTGAAAGATTTTCGAGGAGTTGAAAATGATTTTAATATAAGGTAATTGTGTTAGAAAATACTTTAAAATTTCACCACTTACTATTAGACATGTTTCTCTAGCGATAAAATGGCTCAATGTCAATTTTTCCATTAAGGGGTTGTTCACACCCCTTAAAAATAATAGGCGGAGTTCAGATCATTTTCACTTTTGAAGTTCAGGGTAAGATGAGCCTAATTCTAAAATTTCATGCAAATCAGTTCACAGTAAAAAAAATCGGAGATAAGACTGTATTTTTCGCTTCAATGATTGCACTAAGTAGGATTTGTTTAATATTTTCGATATAAGAAAGACAAATTATATTCGATATTTTCAATTAGGATCAGTTAAAAAGTAGTAAACAATGTAAACGTAAAACGTGCCTAAAGATTGTCTTGTATGATCCAAGAATAAGCACCACTGCGTAGGCAGTAATAAAGAGAAACTTTTTAACGACAGAACAATTATTCGTAAAACAATTTCGGTTATTTTTTGTTTCTGAGATGTTTTAGAGGTAAATGGACGTGCTGGTTTGAAAAACTCTAACAAAAACAACATCATTGCTCTCCTTTTGACGTACATAAACCTTTCAATTTGGGTCGGATGGATGATCCGTAGGTAAGTTGAAACTAATTAGTTTCAAGGTATCAAGTTATAATGTTCACAAACTACACAGTTTATCAAAATTATTGTTCCCCTGTGTCGTATAAAGTCTTTCGAAGTGTTTGTTTAGGTACAAATTAAAAAATTGTTCATCACGCTCAATAAATTTACCAGCAGCCTCATTACCAGCAATATCTCACTGATTGGCCATCTAATCAAGTCGTTGCGTATCTCTATGGCACATGGATGATCCTGATTAGGATTATGGCTTACAAAATATTTTCATTTTGTAGTGCATCAATAATTTAAGAGACCCTGTTTTTCAAAATATCGATCTTTTGATTACTCTACATAATATTTTTTAGACTTGAAGTTATTTTTATACTATTGGAGACTATTTTCCGAACAGAATATGACTAGTTATGGATATTTGATGTGAACTTAACGATGTATTAGGAACTTTCAGAAATACTTCTAAATATTGCAATATTGTGATTTTAACTCCAAATGAGACCTATAGCGGTCTAGGTCAGCCTGCGCGTATCCCATAACCATTCATATTCTCATCGATCAGTACCAAAAGTGTAAAAAATTGTTGGTAAAGAACCGCATAAGGGCAAGTTTAGACACGGCAAAATCCGCGTGGTTCCAGTCTGCGCATAAAAAAATCAAAAGCTATCATAAGTTCAATACGCCTGGTTACGCGTATACATTCGTATAACTGATCCGTGCGAAATCCGCGTGTATTCATTTTCCAGTGTTCAATCGGCGGCTACTGAGCAGAGACATGATCCGCCTGGTTTAGTGAACATCAGTTCGGAATAGCGCGGAATCTGCCATGTGTGAACTTGTCCTAAAAATAAATATCTATTTGTAAATATTTTCTACAGTTTTCATCCGTAAAGGTGAATCATCTCCAATACTGTCCAGTGTTTTGGCCGGTTTATTTTTATGCTTTCTATTTTTTCGACAGTATAAAAAGATCAGGAAACTCATAATAATAATAACAGCTGCTGTTGCTCCTACACCTATACAAATACTTTTCAGTAAGTTATTTCTTTTAATTGCTTCAAATTTTATATTGCATTGACTAAACAACTGCAAGTCTTCATCCTTCAAAGTCACGGTGCATTCTAAAACAAATCAATTAAAATATTGATAAATCATTTGACGATATTACAAAAAAAAACATCATGTTTATGTTTAGTGAGTTATCATTGCGGGCGGATAAAAATATAATTATAAAATTGCGATTATTATCAAAAATGATTTTCCCATTAATGAGAAACTTTTGCAGATGTTTAGAATAAATCGCAATTTCTCCAGTCTTATCCTGTGCTCAGACACTCATTATTGAAATTGGTATATGATTTACATACTACATATATAATGTCATCCGGGAAAGTAGTTTAGAAATGATCAAATTACTCAGTTTTGCACAATTTATAAGAATCTCACATACTTCAATTGCAGCGTATTGATCATTTTGACCATTATCTTTCGTGATATCTTAGTTGATACAATGTTTGCTGGTAAAAATTCTAGATCAAAGGTAAGAAAACATTTATTACAATAGACACACAACTGGACACTACGCACTCAATCATAATTTCTGTAAAACGAACAAAATAGACAGATTAACACGCAGATTTTGTGAAAATGCAGAACGAACTGCCGAAGAAATCCTTAAGAAAATTTGCAAATTGTCTGCAACTGTTTGATTATATAAAATATTGTCTAATCTGTATTTAAATAAGACATCCACAGAAGACATAACGCGCTAAAGAAGTGTTAATTGAAATATAAACTTTGGATCCATAATTGTTTGCAAAATGGAAAATGCTGAACTACAAATAACAGTATTGTGTACTTCTACATCACGTCAAGATGATGTAAATACTAAAAGAAGCAGGAATTAACAATCGAGATCTGAAAATAATTAGAAACCTTTACTGGAATCAGACCGCAAATCTCAGAATTGAAGGTGAACACACCAATTATGTAAAAATCGTGAATGGAGTGAGGCAAGTCTTCTTTAATCTTCAATCTCAACTCTGAAAGAATATTTATTGAAGCTTTACACGAAACTGAAAAAGGCATTCTACTAAACGTATATTAGCTAAACAACAGATGACACCATGGTATTTGCGGACAACCTAGAAGACCTATAGGGCCTTGTGAACAAATTCATACATTACAGTCAACCATATGGACTCAATATAAATATAAAGAAGACAAAGCTCATGATGAATAATTAGCAAGAAAAATGTAACACAAGATCAACTATACGTCAACCAAATCCCAGTAGAATAGTGACGCACTACAGCTACTTCGACACCACAATAAATGAAGAATGGATCAACAACCAGGACCAGGAGACAAGAGCGTGCATAGGAAAAGCTAGATCCACCTTAAACCGGGTGGGGGCCTTCATTAGGAGCCTCTCTCTCTTCAATCCTGACCCCCCAGGGGGAGTGTAGTGGTCGACGTGATGTCGTGTATTGTCCGTCTCCAGAGATCTCTGTCTCTGGTCATTTCTTTTAATTTATGCATAGGTCTTTGGCATATTCCTGTAATTTGATCTATCCATCTTGTTGGGGATCTTCCTCGTGATCTTCGGCCTTCTACCTTTCCTTGTATTATGAGTCTTTCCATGTTTTCTGTGTTTGCTCTCATAACATGCCCAAAATATTTTAATTGTTGGAGATGGCTAACTAGAGAGCTTTACTAGAGAGTCGTTGGCTAACTTTTAGCTCTCTTAAAATTGAATTATTTGTTCTACGATCGGTCCAAGGAATTCGTAACATTCGTCTCCAATAGAACATTTCAGTGGCGTCTATCTTTTTTCTCTCCGATTGTCTCAGAGTCCAAGATTCACATCCGTAGGTCAGTATTGGGAATATTAAGCAGTTGATCAACCTCATCTTTATCGCTCTTTAAATTTGACAGTCCTTCCATATTTTGGTCATTTTTGCTGTGGCAACTTTTGCTAGATCACATCTACGTTTAATCTCTTCTTGTAATGACCCTGTGTTTATGATTAATGATCCCAGGAGCCCATGAATTAGGAGCCACAACCTCTCTATTGGTATAAAAGTAAGAATGCTGTGCGATGCTACGTCTTTTATGCTCTTTTTTCTAGTGTTTAATTGTGGACTTTTCTAGTGTTTAATATATGCAGAAGATTGGAGTTCTTTGTAAATAACCACTTTCAAATCTCGAAAGTTACAATACTTAGAACACATTATGTGAAATGACTTTGGAAATGAAAAAGTATTTGGCATACCTTCAAAACAACAATCACAACTATACAAAGAGAACAACTACAAGACAACATCAGAAAAATAAAGAATACATGGATGACAGAAGAAGTCCTAGAACTGATGGACATAAAGAGATCTTACAAAAATCGCAATGAAGAAAAATATTAAGAAACCCAGAGAATTATTCAAAACAATATCAAGAAAGCCAAAGAAGAATGGATGAGCAGCAACTGTGAGGAACTGGGAGATTTGCAACTGGGGAAAAAGCATGACTACTTTAATGCATACAAAACGATTAAAGAAGTCACAAATATGAAGAAAAAATAACTGCAATAACTTTAGTAGATGATACCAACCAAATAGAATCTAGTCCAGAAAATGTAGGAGATATGTGGGGAAAATACATCAAAGATCTGTTTGATGGCGAGAGAACAGAACTACAAATGAATATAGTACAAGAAATAATACTTGATATATTAACATAGAAAGTTACAAAAACAATCAATACGGCAAAGCCACGAAAAGCCTCAAGTCCAGATGAAATATACGTAGAGATGATAAAGCTTATCAATGAAGAAAATCTTCCGACGTTAACACTATTATTTAACAAAATATATACCACTGGAATCTGCCCAGAAGACTGGCTTAGATCGACATTTATACCTACACCCAAGAAAAATAAAGCAAATAAAAGCTCACAGTTCAGACTAATTAGCCTGGTGAGCCATTTTCTGAAAATTTTACTCAAAATGGTACATCAACGAATATACATAGAATGCGAAAGAAACCTGAGCGACAATCAATTTGGATTTCGTATGGGGCTTGGTACAAGGGAGGCATTATTTGGCCTCCAGATATTACTACAAAAATGCCGAGATCAGCGAAAAGACGTGTTTCTCTGTTTTATCGACGTCGAAAAAGCGTTTGATCGAGAAAAAAAAACACTCAGAACTCATAGAAACCCTAATACAACATGGTATAGGCCATACCACTGTAGCACTGATTAAAAAACCATATTGGGATCAAATGGCGTCGATCAAAATAGACAATCGTCTGACAGCAGAATTACCAATAACAAGAGGAGTTCGTCAGGGCAAGAAGAGGTCCAGGAAGAAGAAAATGCTCCTGGTGGAAGAATGTAAGAGACTGAACAGACATGGACACACATTCGATAGTAAGAACAGCACAAGATAGAGAGCAATTTGCTGTAGTTATAGTCAACCAACAGTAATGGAGAAGGCACCTTTAGAAGAAGATAACCTATTTTCTATGTCTCTTTGCCGACGGAAACCAGCGAAGAGCACCTTTTCCACATGGTGGAAGTCAACGTACTTGTTGTACTCCGAGTATTATTTCTAAAGTTAGTTAAGACACTGAATATATTATCTGGTATCAAATTCGATCAAGGTTAATGCCTCAATGGTGAAGAAAACTATGATTAGTGAAAATTTGACGAAAAGAGTCAGAGAAGAAGAGGATGATTCAGAACAAGGTTCTGGAACATTAACATCGATGAAGACATGAGGAATATGTGAATACGTACTTGGCGGAAGAAGGCGATGAATGTGGATGACTGCAGAGACATTCTTAATGAGGCTAGAGCCCACGCAGAGTTGTAACGCCAGAATGATGATGAATGGTACAGGGAAATCGAAGGAAAAGAGAAGTAGGGGGCAATCACCAACAAGATGGACTGACGCAGTGGAAACGCAACTCGAAATAAAGAAAGAAGGATAACCAACATCAAAAGAGTTATATAAATAATGCAAAAACATCAACAACCATAATTATTACTAATAGTTGTATAAGTTGTATACGCGTTATAAGTTGTAACATTGTAACGTATTATGTAGTATTCCCATTGAAAACATTATGAAGTTAATGTAGTGACTCTTTATTCTAGTCGATATTCCTACAATATAGACTATAACTATTCGTGTGTAAGACGTAAAGAATCAAAAAAGAAGAAGTGTCGTACATAATACAATTTATACTTACGTGACTCAGCTATAAGGCAAATAAACCTAGTAAACTGTACTTGTCTGGTTTTAAGCCAGTAATTCACTCTCCAGCAGTCACAAGTATCATTGAAAGCCACAGTGATATTATCGTTGATTAACTTTTGCAAATTGCACAGTCCCATAAATAAACCAGGTGTTACATTAAAATAAAAATTACCAGATACATTCAACGTTGTCAATAATGGCATCAGTCCAAAATTGGGAAAGTTTGTCGGGTTTTCAGCGTCAGTCGTTTTACTAATATCTATTTGTATAAGAGGACTGGAAATAGGGCTAGCAGCTTCTACAGCCTTTACTATATTTATATTTGAATTCTGTTTTAGGTACAGTGAGTTTAAATATGGCAGGTGAAATATGCTTGGAGGTATGGTAAGAATGGCATTTAACGACAAATCTAAAGTCGTTAAGCGATATGCGTCCTCAAATAGGTCTTTATCTAATTTAGAGATAAGATTGTCTCCTAAGTACAAGAATTTTAAACTACTGAATTTGCTAAGGTCACTTCTTGTTATTTTCCTTATTCTATTGTAGCCCAAATCGATTACCTACAAAAAAAGAAACGTCTAAGTATATAGGAAAAAGTATATTAGATTGCTGAACTTAATTTCAAAAATGTAAAAAAATTTCGAAAATCTCAGAGAATATAAACCCACAGAAAAGAGTATAGAATATAAATTACACAAGTAGTGTAGTGAATAGTGTATAAGCGACGTGATTGGGGGCTCAGGAGACTGATGAAGCCCTGATGAAAATAGGAAGTCGAAAGCTCGGTTTACTCAAATTCGACGCAGTTAAACCGGAAACCAGGTGAATTTGATATTAATTTTTCTAATAATACTAATCTTGGTAGATAAAAGAGTAGAATGCGAAAACAGTGTACTCTGTTTAGCCTCTTCTACTCAAATTCGACTCTCACCTTCACGCTGGTGCCCTTTGTGAAACCTATTCACCCATCTGAAAATGCGGTAACCAATCTTGGTGGAAAGTTGGGTCGAAACTCACGAGAGCGGGTGTAATAGTCCCCAAAAAAGGTGGTTTAGGGTTGGACTAACTATTCAACCCTGTAAAAAAAGCAATATTATGAGAGCTATAAAGAAAGAAGACGTAGTATTTAACCTACGACGAACACGGAAACGAAATGAGGAGGATGATTTGAAAATTTGTACGTAGAATGCAATAAGCTTTTATCTACCTGGAGCTACAGCTCTACTCATACAAGAAATTTATAAAGCCAAAGCAGACATCATTGCTTCAAAGGAGATGATATGGAGTGGCTCAGGAATCCTGAAGAAAAGAACTATACCATATACTATAGCAGACACCCTACTCCTCAGGAATTTGGTACCGGATTTAGTAGTAAAAGTTTAGAAAAAAAAATATATTTTTGGTGCTAAAAACACTCAAAATGTTTAACAGATAATCAAAATTAACAACTATACCTTCGAGAACTCAAATAATTAATATATTTTGGATAGCTAGTAAATACAACAAACACGACAAGCGAAACATACGAAACACGAAGTAAAAAAACGTATAGGACCAGCAAAAAGAACTCTCCATGGTCTTTAAAAATATCTGAGAAACAAAAACCTAAAACGTGCAGTAATGATTAACACTTATAAGACCTTAATAAGGCCGATTATGATATATGGAGCTAAAACAAAGACTGCGTAGAAGATGAATTGATGATGTGGAAGATAATCTTTGGATTCTTTGGGTCAGAAGAGGGAGGGAAGTTGAAAGGAATCGCCGGGAGTAACGACTTCTCTGCAAACAGACCAAGATCAACAAAATATTGTCGAGCCAAGTATGATGTGAATGAATGAATAATATTAATTCTACATAAAAGGAAAGACGTCTTTGCTGTATTTATTGACTATGAAAAGGCCTTTGATCGAGTACAGCACTACAAATGAATTACAATATTAAAAGATAAAGGAGTTGATAGTCGACATACGATTCATAGAAAAGTTATACTGGCGTCAAACAGCGACAGTTTGCATAAACGGAAAATCAACAGAAATATGTAAAATACAAAGAGGTGTCAGACAGGGTTGTATACTATCCCAACTGTTATTTAATTTATATTTAGATAGAATATTTAAAGAACCGCTGCATAATTTGGAATGGAGCGTGAAAGTTAATGGAATTCTGATAAATACAATCAGATATGCAGACGATACAGTTATTTTAAGTGATGACATGAATGAACTACAATGCCTTTTAAATGCCATTGATACACTGGGCAGAGAGTTTGGCCTAAATATAAACTGTTCAAAAACAAAACACATGGTGTTTAGCCGTTTAGCACATCAAGATGCACGATTTTATATATTGATGATCATATAATTCAAAGAGTGTCCAGTGTTAATTATCTTGGTTGCCATATTACTGAACAACTAGATCCAGATCAAGAGATAAAATGTAGAATCGAGATAGCCCGCACGACATTTTTAAAAATGAGGTCATTCTTCTGTAATGATAACTTCTAACTTCAACTTCGAAAGCGCATGGTTAAATGCTACATTTGGTCAGTTCTCTTATACGCTGTCGAAGCATAGACATTAAGAATATCCACCATTAATCGTCTGGAGGTCTTTGAAATGTGGCTGCACAGACGTATACTAAAAATTCCATGGACGGCTATGCTGACAAATGTGGCAGTCCTTGAGAGAGCAAATGCTGCTCGCGAGCTGCTTGATAACATCAAATGTAGAAAGATGGCCTATTTTGGACACGTAGTAAGGGGAGACCGATATAATATTCGTCAACTTATTATGATGGGTAAAATCGAAGGACGCAGAGGAATTGGTAGAAAGCAGGCCTCTTGGTTGAAGAATATCAGGGAGTGTTACGCCATGTTAATCGCCAACGTCAAGAGCACTTGATAGGGCACGTTAAGAAGAAGAAGTCAAAGTATGGGAAGAAGAAAAAATGCGGGAGGAATAGTGCAATGGAATCAAAAGAATGAATTGCCGTGATGGTCGATTATGAACCTAAAGAAAAAAATATTTTGACCATATAACATACATACCTCGACGTCTGAGGTCAAGCATTGTGGAAATTCTCTAAACTCTCTGTTATAACAATCAGCTGTTTTCATTTTGTGCGAACGGGTGATGAGACATGTTGGTCCTTGTTTGCAATTTATGGCATATATATAAATTATTTGCAGGTTCAACAGCCATAAAATCTCGATTTTCATATCTGGTTCCCCTCAGCACTGAAACATAAAATCAATTGTGAATAAAGGATCATCAAACACGAGAAAAATTAGTATAATAAAATGTAGAAATTAACTATAGTGTATAAAGGGTGATTTTTTGGGATCACAACCTGGAAAATATTGCAAAAGTGTTGTTTTTTCATGTAACATATTTTATGATTATAGTTTGCTACAAATCTTTTTGATTGTCACATGAAGATACTTGAGAAACAAATTAAACAAAAGAGTATGAGACTGGGAATTTAACGATATAAATAAATAAATCTTGATCCAGAACATGCAGTGAAAACTGTAAGAGCCTTGAATACAGGAAGCAGTAATGTTTTAAATATTCAGTACACTCTTTGAATTATTTTTAATACAACCTCGTAGCATTGATTAAAACTACGTATTGACCATCCTTTTTAACTATATTAATTTAACTTATGTACAAATTTAATTAAGTTTTCCTGTTGTGCCTAAAGCAGCAATAAAGGTATTGTATTCCTATTTTAAAACGAAATAACAGTAGAGGGAGTGCCGGGAGTCAACCATAACAGTTCTAAATAGAACTAGAAATAAACTAGAAATACATAAAAGTGGTAATTGTTAATTTTTTTTATATTACAAAATTATTTAAATTTTTGTTGATGACTTTGGATATAATATAAGATGGGGTAAACATACAAAACAACGAGAATGGGAGAAAACATGGAGGTTATTATATATATATATATATATATATATATATATATATATATATATATATAGATATATATATATATATATATATATATATATATATATATACATATAAGAAATACTGGATATTATTGACTGTCGATATAAACAAACAACACAGTTTATTAGGGTTGCAGTCAGAAATATTGGCCGGGATGTTAAAAAAAACACTCTTTTGACTTTTTGTCGAGCTTTCGGAATATTTTTATTCCTTTTTCAAGACACTGTAAAAGACAATTATGTAAATATTTAAAAAATATATCACAATTCTTCAGTGTAACTTACTAGTCGTTGAGATTATTTTTGTAAGCATTGAACACTCAACATTTATACCACACATTAAAATATACAATTATGGACATAATACATCATAAAATTTTTAAATTTTTGTTGTAAAAATAGTAAAACTTGATTGATGGCATGTTTTACTGGTGTATATTAACTCATACAGAGAATGGAAAGAAAAAACAGTGTAATTAACATGTATATTAATATATTGTCTATATGTCTGAATTGAATGTCTTTAGGGCTGTTTGCTCCAGTTGTTGCTCTATTGTGTGCAGGGGAAATTGTCAATTGAAAATCGTTACCAGTATGAAGCTTTGCAACTGAGGTTGAAGCAATTACCTCATCTTGACTTAAGTGAGGCTCTGCAGTTGAAATTAAAGGAATTGCCTCATCTTGACTTGACACTGGTAGACTATTATTCTCCAAATTTCTTTCAGTCGTAGCAGATGGTGCAAAATCGAGGTCTGTAAATATATTGGGATCATAAGGTACTATCCCACATTTTTTAAAAGCGTTAATAGCAGTCAAAGGTGTTGCAGCTTGTAAGAAAGCCTCACCAAAAATTTTAGAGATTTGGAAAGCTGTTACCACTCTGCCTGGGTTGTTATTAAGAAACTTTTCTAATGCCATATCATAATATCGTGCTAAAGGAGCCATGACACCAACATCGGTTGGCTGCATTCGATGGGTGGAATGTGGAGGCAAACAAATGATATGTATATGTTTTTCCCTAGCCAAATTAATTACTTCTATGTTTTTTGTATGGCTGCTGTGTCCATTCAAAATCAATAAGATCGGATCGTCTTCACTTGGTTTCGTTTGTTGAAGAAAATGTTGAAACCATATTAAAAAGAGTTCACTATTTATCCAGCCACTATCGCTACAGGCGAATATTGAACGTGGAGGTGCACAAGCTTGGAGTTCGACTTTCATTCTCTTCCTTGCAAAGATTAACATCGGCGGTATGAAGATTCCTGATGATGACATGCAAATAACGGCTGTTGTTATTCCACTTCTATCAGCAGAAGTAAGCCGTGCAACTTGTTTCCGTCCTTTATGCGCCAAGATTTTACTATTACATTTGGGGACTGTACCTAGACCTGTTTCGTCACAGTTAAAAACACGCGTTGGATTGACATGTTTAGAATCCAAAGTAGCTTTATACAGATCAAAAAATTGTTTTACATTGTAACGATTAAAAGCTTCAGCTCTTGCAGCAGATGTTGATTCGGGTTTACGTAATGAAAGCCCTGGGTGCCGTTTTCGAAATCCGTACGCCCTGCGGATCGAAATCTAAACCTGCAAGTTTATTTGTTTTATTATATGGATGGTCTATGTAATTTTTTTGGCTAACTGGAAAGCTAGGTGACGAAGATCAAGCAAAGTAATTCCGTATAAACGCTTCTCCATATCTAAGATATAATTATACAATTCTTCTTCCTGTTCCTTGGTAAAAACCGTTTTGTAGAAACCTAGACCCTTTTCGTCAGGAGAAATTCTTGTTACTTTTTCTTTGCATCTGCGAATTAACGTTGCTTTCGGGATACCATAAACGTTACTAGCTTTTAAATAGCCCATCTCCCCAGCTTTAATGTTAGATCTCTATTTTATGCACATAATTTACACGCGTGTTCGTCGACGTTTATGATTGAAACACCCATATCTACTTTTTTATGTCCTACCTCGCTTTTTTTGATAATATTTCGTAACGTGCACAATTTCTTAATGTGCGTTTGTAGATATCAGTTTTAGAAGTTGTCAGGCACCTTGTGCGCGATTTCTTTTATTTCTAACAGTAAAATCTACTAGTTTTACATTTATTATTTATTTTTGAACAATGATAATTTATCAACAATTCTGATTAATATTTGGTTCACTGTACTTCCCAACTTATGCAGATATTCGATTAAAAATGTTTATTAAAACTCTTAATAACTAGATACATATGTCAATATTGATCAATTATTTGCTTTTTATTATAAAAAATATAAGAGCAAAGTCTTGATTAATATCTCTTACTTATCTGTTGTTTACAAAATGTATAATGCTATTAATAAGAGTGTTTTCACAATTAATTGAAAATATTGTTAATTACATGTGATATGATATATTTTTTATTTATCTGTCAATTCTGATAATGAAATTGTCGTTATTCGTTATTTTAAACCTTATAAAACCTCCCAAAATATTTCAATATTGCTTAAATAGATAAAAATTTATATAAAATATTGTCGACATTTCAAGGTATTCTGTTATTTTCGTGCTGAAGTTGGGTTGAAAGAGTCACAAACTTTGAGGTAATACGAAGGATAGGAAAGACCCAGAAATTTTGTCAACGATCAAACGATTCAAAAGAAAACTCGAATACTTGGGTCACCTGATGAGAGGACATAAATACGCATTACTTCAAAATATAATGCAAGGAAAAATAGAAGAAAAACGGAATCCAGGCCGTAGAAAAATGTCATGGTTGCGTAATTTGAGAGAGTGGTTTGGCTGTACGACTAATGAACTCTTTAGGTCAGCTGTAAACAAGATCAGGATAGCCTTGATGATTTCCAATCTTGATAGGAGTGGCACAAGAAGAAGAAGAAGTTATTTTCATCAGGTACATCTATCTCTATCTGGACTGACTTCTGAATAGGCCTTTGTTCTGTCAGTTGCGCCCTTGTCGGATGTATCTGGTAGTGGGAAATTTTTGAGAATTCAGAAGTTCCTAATTTTTTACCTTAGCTTATGATTGTCTATATAAATTTGCTAAAGTGTCTATGTACATTTTGTCGATGCCTTGGTTGGTCACAATTACTGCCTTGGGATATATAGAATCGAAAGCCGTCTCAAAACATATGAAGGTTAATGCTAGCGGTATTTCACATTCTTTAGCTCTATTCATTAGTTTTCGAAGCGTATGAATATGGTCCATGGTACTGCGTCTACTTCTGAAGGCAGCTTGATGATCTGATCTCACCTTCATCAGCATGTCTTTAGCGGACCGTTGCGTTAGGAAGGTATATAAGCCTATACCGAAGACGCAACATAGGCCGTGAGAATAACCGTATACAGCGCTATAAAAGTTCCCAAAATCCCTTTCAAACGAATGTTTAATTTCAAAAAACCGAACCGGGAAAAATGTACTGATAAATTGGAAACACAAGTGAAAAATATAGTCCCGATCCCCAAAAACTATGATGCGTTCATCAAACTTGTAAAACGAATCTCATGTAAACACATCCCCAGAGGATGTCAACAACATTACATATCTGGTCTGAACGATGAAGCAAAAGACATTATGACAAAGTACACCATAGAATATAGTAAAGACCCATTTAGCGAAGTTACGGTAGAGATAGGGGAGAGACTGCAGCAAATACTAAATGCCTCCAGATAACAACGGTGGAGCGAGACTTTAAGTAAAATTGATATGACGCACAGTAGTAAGCAAGCTTGGAATATGATCAAAAAACTTAATGGTGATCCCACAGAGATGAAAGAGCTATGTGCAATAACGCCAAATCAGATAGCCCACCAACTGCTTCTGAATGGCAAAATGCCAAAGATTATAAGAACTCAAGACCAGAAAACAACTCTCTTGCGAAACCCATTTACCATCGAAGAGCTCAAAAATGGTATTGACTGTATAAAAAATGGAAAATCACCTAAGGTGGACGAAATCCTAACAGAGCAGATAAAGCAATTCGGGCAAAAAGCGAGACAATGGGTGCTCGATCTATTTAACATCTGTCGCTCTACCTACCAGATTCCAAAACTGTGGCGTAAATCAAAAGTAGTAGAAGTTCTGAAATCTGGGAAAGACCCTGAACTACCGAGTAGCTACCATCCGATATCTCTGCTATGCCATTTGTATAAATTGTATGAACGCCTCATTTTGAACCGCATCCAGGAAATATTAGATGCAAAACTAATCCCACAACAAGCAGGCTTCAGACCAGGTAAATCATGCACAGGCCAAGTGCTGAACCTAACAGAAT